TTTTTAACCAAAAGCCTTTGTGCCGCTGTGTTTCCATGGGAGCAAATGGGGAGCTTTTTTTTTTCCTTTGAGTAAAATGCAGTCCACGATTGGTGGCTGGCCTAACCCCAACCCTTCTGAAGGTTACAGGATTTTTAAGAGGGAGGCTTGCATGTGAGCACAGTGCAAGTTAGTCAAATACATTCATTTTTGCAGCACCTGCAACAAAAACCTGGAATAGCAAACATGCTGCTTGTATTGTGTGGCCAATGCAGAAACGCGTACAACATTTACTGTTTCTGCTTTCAGACCACTGAAGCAGACATCATTATAGGAGATAACCCTAACTTAACCCTATCTGCTGCAGAAAGGCAAAACTGATTTTTCTTTTTTTGATGTGTCATTTAGAACAATGAGTTTATGATGACAGTAAGAGCATAAATTACATTCTGTGATAGCCTAAAGTTAGAGTCAAGGTTTTCACCTTTAATGACTTAGACCTCAGATGGTGATGTCAGCACACTAATTTGCTGACACAAATTTTCCTAAAACTTTGGCACTACTGTGAAAAACAAACAATGTGCTGAGGGGAGCTTGCAAGACATTCATTTTTGGGGAAGCTAAAAAACCTGGAAAAACCCTGCATAAAAAGCTAGTGTAGGTCGAGAAGTAGAAAGTCTCAACATGTCACTAAGGTTTGGAAGACAAGTTTTGGTTTTTGGGTTGTTGTTGTTGGTGTTTTTTTGCTTGTTTTATCAGTTTGGATTGTTAACTCGCAACTTTTTAATCAGCTTTACTGCAACGTTACGCCCACACCATACAGGACATGATGTCGCTGCTCGCACTGACAATAAGCACACAACCCACAGGTGCCTTTGTCTGCTGATTTAAGTCAGAACAGTGTGTGTCCTTAAAATAACGCTAAAAAAATAGAAACGTCTTCATTCAGCATTTCTGCAGTAGTAGAAAGGAATGAGCTATTTATAAATTAACATTACTGCACTAACAACCAGGCAAGCTCCAACAGCTCAGCCAGTCATTAGGATCTTTTTATATATGGTTCCTGTCAAGAGTTTATGTGCACTCATTATGGTCAACATTTTAACAATAATGGGATTTCATTGAATTCTCCAAACTCCCCTTTCTCTGTGGCTCAGAGACCGCACAGCATGCAATTGTAAGAGTCACGTTTCTTAATTTTCTCTTAGTGATCATGACTGAAGCTGGGATCTTCCCTGGGCTTTTACAGCACTCATTGGACTGAAAAACATAGTGAAATAGTCCAGTGTGATCAATGCATATCTGAAAAAAACAAAAAACAAAACAGAAAGGTCTCCCCTGCACCCTCTACCCTCAGTCAGGTTTTCACCCACCCCTGAGATGGGTGAAGAAAGAGGCCCCAAATCGACACCTTCAGTCTTGTCTAAAGTTTGTAGGTGATCATATGGACAATCATAAAGACTTTTATGTTCACATGAGATAAAAATGAAGATATCTTGCCATAATTATCAGAGTTTGAATGAGTACCTCCAAGAAAACTGTACTGCAGAGCA